CCAATGAGCCCCCCCCCCCCTCTGCTGAAGAAGAGGCACTCTTTTCACAGTCTGCCTCAAAGAAGGGCAAAGAGAAGAAAAGAAAGGAGGCTTCAAGTTCCCCAAGCCCGGAAAAGAAAAGGCCTGCCAGGAGACCCCGTAAGCCTAAGGAGGATATTATCCATGTAACTTTGGAGTCCATCCAACAGCTATTGGATGAGATCGAAGACGAATATGAAGAAGAAAACTCCGGATTGGTGCCTTGTGTTCGAGCTAGCACCAAGATTCAATGAACCATTGGACAGGCGAGAGCCGAAGCTGCTTCGCCCCGACCTGATGAGGCCAAGTTGTAAAGAGTTGAAAATGTCTCACTCCGAGGTGGGGAGGCCACCGATGAGACGGTCGAGGCTGGAGTAGAAACCGAGCTCAAGGCTCCCCGAAAAGAAGATGATGCCTCTAAAGACACACTTGGGGCAATAGTGATTGGGGATTCCTACTCATTCCCTCTGTAGACATGTAAATTTTGACCCATCCCCGAGATTTTACATATTTTAGCATTTAAATATTTAGGTTTGGTCTAATATCACTATTTTAACTAGTTTTAACTTTTTTACTTTCATTTATCACAAAAATAAAAATTACAAAAATATATTCTTTTATTCAGTTAATTGATATTTTATCTAATTACTTTTAGTTTATCTACATTTCATAAAATACAAAAAATACAAAAAATAGTTCCACTTTATTTTTAAAAATATTAGTACTTTTGATAGGAATATTATTTTAATTTTGCGATGATTTTAATCTAATCCCATTTTTATTTTAGTATGATATTTGAAAAATACCAAAAATAGGTTTTTTTTAACGGTTAATTTTATTTTAATAGTTATTTCTACTTAAGTAGAATTAATTAGTATAGGTTGGTAGTATTTTTAGTCTTGTTCAATGAGAAAGAGTCAAATTTGGGCTAAAACAACCCATTCTTTAGGCCCAAATTCGGATAGCCCAAGACCCATAACCCATTTGACCCATCTCCCCTTTAAATCCTAGCCACTTATCCAATCTAATCCAAGGGCTTCCATTAATTCTGACCCAAAATAAAATCCCAAGTTCAAAACCTTAGAGGCCCTTCCTTCTTCCTAACTCTAACGCCCCTAAGAGAACCTTAACCAGCCGCCTGCCATGCTCTTCTCAAACAACCAACTTAACACCCCTCATACCAGCAACCAAACGGACATAAACATCCACCATCCATGAAAAGGCCCCATTTTCGGCCACTACTAGCCATCAATGACCCTCTCTGAACCCCATCTCCTCACACCTTTCACCAGTCGCACTCCCATCTCTTTATAGTCGGAATCCGACAAGAACACACCCACCGACCTTGCTTCTCGTTTTCTTTTAACGATGTTGCTGTTCTGACAATAACCACCATTGAAGTGGTGATTCCGTCCTCGCATGTCCATAGATAAAAACAGGGGCGATTTTGGAGACAGTAAAAAGTTGACACAAATTAGGGGTTCTTCGGACAGAGAGTTGTGTAAAATGATTAGGTTCGATTGAGTTGCTGTTGGTTTCGAGTTTTACTAGTGTCATTTGAGATCCGTTTGTCATTCTGATTTGGCTTGCGGTCCCTGCTCAAATTTGTTGCCGTTGTTTTCCATCTTCATTTCGAGTTCAATTAACGGAATTCTCATTAGATTGTAATCGTGGAAGATTCAAATATATCGGAAAGCAGTTCAGGTCCAAATCTTATCCTATTTCTTTCTATCTTGTGGTTGATTTTAGATAGTGAGACTTTATTGCATATTTGGTATGTTGTTTGTTTGCTAATGTTTAGTTACTACAGTAGATCTTTTAAGTTGTTCTAGATGATGGTTTAAGTTTAATTGTATAACTTGAGTTTGTATCGTTTAAATGTTAAACAAAGATTAAGCTAGGAAATGAAAGTTGTTGTTCATAAGCTGATTTGACAAATTGGGCAGTGGAGTTGGGTATTAAAATAAAAGATGATTTGAGCTTAAAATGTTATTATTATGCTTTCACTAATCGTACGGTAGGAACATGATTAGGCCAACAATACCTGGGTAGGCAATCTTTCGGATTTTTGTTAGTTTTGAGGCGAGTGGTTGTTCCCTTTGTTAAAGTTATCCGGGGAATGCCCCGAAGGATTTGTATATATTTTATTCCGAAGAATGCCCCGTTGTATTATGTAATTGGAGGCCGAAAGCGAACTCGTAATATTTTTATTCTTATTTCATTTTTATCTTTCTGTTATTAGGTGGAAACGATCTTGAGCCTCTTATGTGTTAATTTTCCCATTTCTGTGTTTATTACCTCAATTCGAATATTTTAAAAGCCGACTAGATCAAGTATGCAACTGTTCTAGTTACTGAACTCGGGGAATACCTAACACCTTCTCCCTGAGTCAAATGAACCCCCTTATCTATAACTCTGGTGCAAACTGGTTTAAGAGTGAAATGTGTTTCGAAGGAAAATTATTATTTTAAAAATGGTAACCTGGCACACCGAAACCAATGTCAGGTGGCGACTCTGAAAATCCTTTGAAACACAATCTTTTTGTCACTTTTCATAATGGAAAACCCTTTCGAGCTTCAAAAATCACTTTCATTATTGTAAGAGGGTTAGTGGGGTGAAAAAATGGGTGTGACACCCTCAAGTTTTGGAATCGATGATACGTGACACTCAGGCTGCAAAGACTTGTCACGGAGAAGGGGCCCACGGAGAGGAAGATATTTTCCTTTGCTATTTCTCTGATGTAGAAGATTTTACCGGTTTGGGTGATTTGGACGTACCAAGGAAGAGCTCGAATGAGGCTTCCTCGAGCTATATATTGACCAACCAATTCCTGGACCCTAGCGTCGACCCTGATCGTAAACAACCTCTTATGATCTCGATCCCGGAAGATACTCAAGTTTTCTCTTCCCTCGTAGGGGTGGAGAGAAATTTTTAGTGCTTGGTCACCAAAGAGGATCAGGAAAAAATGGACGCAGTGGACGTTGCCTTTTTGTTCAACGAGGCCCAGCATGCTCTGAATCGGGTAAGTTCAAAGGCCGCTATATTTTATGACTTTGAATTATAGGTATCTCTAACACTTTCTTTCTTTCTCGTAGGCTTCAGTGGCATCATGAGGCCTTTTTCCGCATCCATGAGGAACGGAAGGCCGAAGTCCAGGATCTCTCTAAGAAATGCAATACTTACAAGCTTCTTAGTGAGAAACTTCAGGTAGACCTGGTGGAGGCTCTAAATGCGCATAAAGAGATGGCTAATCAGGTATTCCTAGTTCTTCATGACAGTGAGGACGAGTTCGAGATAACAACTAACAATCAAGGTCCTTCAAAGGAAAATAGATAAAGTGCAAGATGAAGCCGAACATTTCAAAGGATGTATGGATATTTTGGCGGCACAAAAGGATACCGTTCAAGCATATATGGATTCTGCCAAGTCACAGCTTTGATATGCATAGGAAAATGCCTTGGTCCAGGCGAAGAAGGTCGAGGAGCTCGAGTCCAATTTAGCCAATTTGGCCAAAGAGCTCGAGGTTGCTAGATCTGAAGTGGCCTCGGCCAATATTAATGCCAAGCCACCCTCGAGTAGGCCAAGGGCCTGGTTGATCATTCGAAGTGGCAGGCTCGAAGGGATGCTCTCAAGGAGGCCCTTGCTCAAAGTATCGACATATATGCTGAACTCGAGATCGCCAAAGCTGATGAAGCAAAGGCTTAAAAGTTAGCATTTTCCAATGAGGATTCCGAGGATGTGAGCGGATCTGGTAGAGAGGACTCTAAGGGCGAAGAAGCTGCTCTAGAAGAAGACTAGGACTTTAAGATTAGAAGTGTTTCCTTTAAGGCTGTTTTGGCCTTTGTAAAGAGTTCAGATCGGGCCATGCCGCCCTTGTAAATGATTTTTGATATATAAAAGATCTTTTCTTTCCCTTTCTGTCTTGTCTTTACTTTATTTTATTTATGCCTTATGAAATTGCATTCATAGGTTCAAGGTTTAGGCAATTTTGGACCGAAACCGAACTAGTGTCGAGTGAGTACTTGCTCGAAGTCGAAGTAGGGTAGCCCATAGGTTTTTATTAAGTGAGGATAATCCCTCGAGCTCAAAAAAAAAGTTTTCCTTAGGCTTTTGTATTAGGTTGATGTGGCCTTTGTAAAAAAAACTAGCTTTATCCCCTTTTTGGCTTAAAATGTTTATTGTTAGTTATACAAAATTGGTATGTCTTAGCATGAAATAAAGAATTGTTCGAGAGTTCGAACAATTTTGTACCCTTTAGGGTTCTCGAGGCTAGATATTATCGGAGCCCTTTGTGATGTAGCCTTTTTAAAACGGTTTGTGATAATATTTGAAGGCTTGTTTTATTACGGAATTCAGACGTCTTCAAACCGTGTTAATTTGGCCATAGCCTTTTTATTTGGGACATGCCTTTTAGGTCGATTTTCCCGTTTCACTTCGAGCTCGCCCGAAGTGTCAGTCCCCGAGTAGGGTGGCTGTGGCCTATAAAAATCGAGGGTTGCCTTTAAGGTCTTATGATCTCAAAGTTTTAATAATTCGATCTCATTTGTTTTTTGGACGGCAGTCCTTAAGCGTGGGGTCAGTTTTTCTAACTTCTGTTATGATCGGCCCTTAAGCCTGTTTACACAATAGATCGAGTATGAAATTGTAGAAAAATTTTCTAAGGCATGAGATATCGGCAAGGAAAAATACTTCTTTCAATAGATGATTATACATGTGTACATGTTTGATGTTAGGGCTCGAGTAACCTATACGGGCACGGTTCATTCGACTGTTTGGCCCTTACAAAATTACCTATTGAGACCCCATTGTTACGAAGAAATTTCCTTGCAATAATTCTGACACTCGAGGGTAATGTCCCCCAGTATTCGAGGTTGATTGTAAAGAAGAGTCGGATGCTGTTGAATTGTTCAAAGTTAGCACCATCAATAGTTGCATTGTCAAAAACCTCACCGGAAAATCCAATTGGGACAAAACCAATCTAAGGGAAAAAGAGTGCAACGCGTGCTTTCAGACTTAAAAACTTCGAACTGAAGGATCCATCGTCGTTCCTAATCGAAAACTTGCAATTGGTTAGTTCAAAATATAAACGAAAATAGAGAAGGTCGTACCTTAGCAGTACTATCACTTTATGAGTGATACATTCTAATTTTTTGGTAGTTGCTCGCCATTCATCGTGCCGAGTTTGTAGGATCCCTTTCCGATAATATCGGGGACCTGATATGGTCCCTCCTAATTCACACCAAATTTACCTTCATTTGGGTTTCGAGTATTGAGGGTGACCTTTATTAGCACCAAGTCCCCTATTTTAAAGTGTCGAAGATTGATTCTTCGATTATAGTACCTTTCGATCCGCTACTTTTGTGCGGCCAATAGAACGAGGGTGGCCTCGTATCTTTCATCCAACAATTCTAGGCTTGTGTTTATAGCCTCATTATTTGATTCTTCAATCGCATATCAAAATCTAAGGCTAGGTTCCTTGACCTCAACCGTGATAAGAGTTTTGGCACCACAGACCAAAAAGAACGGTGTTGCCCCGGTACTGGATTTCAATGTCGTGGTATGCCCAAAAAAACCACAAGCAATATCTCTTTATTTTTCCTTAGTGTCAGTCAATCTTTTCTTAAGATTTTGAATGATGGTTTTGTTGGTTGATTCGACTTGTCCGTTCCCACTGGAATGGTATGGCGTTGATAGAATCCTTTTAGTCTTGTGATCCTCGAGAAATTTTGTCACTTTGCTGCCGTGGAATTGCTTACCGTTGTCACATACGATCTCGGCAGGCATCCTGAATCGGCATATAATATGGTCCCAAATGAAGTCTATGACTTCTTTTTCTTTGTCTTTCTCGAAAGCCTATACTTCAACCCACTTAGAAAAATAATCAGTCATAAATAAAATAAACTGAGCTTTACCTAGGGCCGAAGGTAGAAGGCCGACGATGTCCATACCTATTTCATGAATGGCCATGGGGATAAGACCGAATGGAGTTGTTCCCCGAGCTGGTGAATCAATGACGCATGCCTTTGACATTTATCGCACTTTCGAACGAAATCTTTTGTATCGTTTTCCATATCAGCCTAATAGTACCCTGCTCTGATAACTTTGTGAACCAGTAATTCGGCACCGGAGTGGTTCCCACAAGTGACTTCGTGAATTTCCTTTAGGACATAGTCGGTGTCTCCTAGTCCCAAACATATCGCTAATGGCCTATCGAACATCCTCCTAAATAACGTTTCATCATCGGCCAAAGTGAACCGCGTTGCCTCGGTGCGTAGATTCCTCGACTCCTTCGGATCTGTCAGGAGTTTCCCGTTCTTTAGGTATTCAATGTACTTGTTCCTCCAATCCCATGTCAAACTTCTAGAGTTTATTTTGGCGTGCCTTCTTCGATTACTGATCGATGTCGCTATTTTGTTCCTAAAGTAAGTGTTGTAAGGTCCATTGTTTAAATCGATGTAAAGTTACCTGTAGTTTGTCCAAGTATCTTTGCATTCGATCTTCTCGAACTTTGAAAGTTATGTTCACTTAGTTTACCACAAGTAGGGAATCGCATTTGGCCTCGATGACCTCTTCTCCCAAACTTTTAGCCAGCTCGAGACCTGCAATCATGGACTCATACTCGGCCTCATTGTAATCAACTTCGAAGTATTGATAGACTATCTAATTATGTTACCCGTGGGTGGATTCAAAATGATGCCTAGCCTGGACCCTTTCACATTCGAAGCACCGTCCGTGAAGAGGGTCCACACCCCCGATGATGTACCAGATTTTAATAGCAGTTCCTTTTTTAGGCTGGCTTAAAGTGAACCACGAAGTCCGCCAAGATATGGGACTTGATGGTTGTTCGGGGTTGATACTCAATATCGTACCTGTTGAGTTCCACGGCCCATTTGGCCAAACACCCCAAAATTTCAGGTTTATGCAAAATATTATGAAGGAGATAGGTAGTTACAACACATATTGGGTGACATTGGAAATATGGTTTTAATTTCCTAGAGGCGCTTATTAAAGCACGCGCTAACTTTTCTAAGTGAGGATACCTAGTTTCTGCCTCGCTTAAGGCCCGACTAACATAGTAAACAGGGAATTGCATACATTTTTCTTCTCGAACTAGGACCCCACTTACCGCTATTTTCGAGACCGCCAAGTATAAATAGAGTTGCTCGTCCGCTTTCAGGGTGTGAAGCAGTGGAGGGATTGACAAGTATAGTTTTAGTTCTTCTAAGGCTTGTTGACATTCCGGGGTCCATGCAAAGTTGCTCTTCTTCTTAAGCGGTGAGAAGAACTGATGACTTCTATTTGAGGACCTCGAGATGAATCGCCGTAGGGCGGCTATGCACCCGGTCTGCCTCTGCACGCCCTTCACATTATCCACGACTTTGGTATCCTCGATAGCTTTAATTTTATCGGGGTTGATCTCGATCCCTCGATTAGACACCATGAAGCCAAGAAACTTGCCCGAGCCGACCCCGAATGCACACTTTTCTGGGTTGAGTTTTATGTTGTACCTCCTTAGTATTTTGAAAGTCTCCTGCAAATATTTCAAATGGTCCTGTGCTCGTAGGGAATTAACTAGCATGTCATCAATATAAGCTTCCATAGACTTCCCTATTTGTTCTTAGAATATTCGATTTACTAGGCATTGATAAGTTGTACCAGCATTTTTTGGTCCGAACGACATTAAGTTATAACAATAGGTGTCGTATTTAGTGATAAGTGAAGTATTTTCCTAATCCTCCGGGTTCATCTGTATCTGGTTGTACCCGGAGTGGGCATCGAAAAAACTGAGAATCTCGTGGCCGGCCGTGACATTATTCATGTGATCGATGTTCGACAAAGGAAAAGAATCCTTAGGGAAGGCCTTGTTCAAGTCCTTATAGTCTATGCACATTCAAAGTTTATTTCCTTTCTTAGGACTACCACTACATTTGCTAACCATTCGGAATATTTTACTTTTCGAATGGAACCTATTTTGAAAATTTTGGTTACCTCGTCCTTGATGAATGCATGCTTAACCTCAGACTAGGCCTTCTCTTTTGCTTTACCAGATGGAACTTTGGCTCCAGGCTTAATCGATGGGTAGTGATCTCCGGTGAGATCCCTGTAATATATCGAGACGGGACCAAGCAAAACAATCTATGTTATCTAAAGGAATTGAATAAGTTTTTTCCAAAGCTTGGGAGTTAACCCCGTGCCTAGGTTATACCTTTCGATCGGCAGATGCTCGATCAGTATGATTTGCTCCAGCTCTTCGACCGTCGACTATGTTGCGTCAGAATCATCAGGGATTATGAAAGTTCGAGGTATCATATAATCATCATCCTCAAAAGTTTCTTGCTTCTCTAATCAGGCTGAGGTTGGTGACTGTGGTTGCTATTTGACTTCCTATTTTCCCTTTGAATTCGATCCCTTTGCAGAAGAAAATGTTGACACCGGTACCACTTCATCGATTCTTAACATCTCCTTGGTGGAGGGCTGCTCTCCGTATACCGTTTTGATTCCCTCAGATGTCGGGAACTTTATAATTTGGTGAAGGGTTGAGGGTACTTCCCTTATGTTCTGGATCCAAGGCCTCCAGAGCAGGGCATTGTACCTCATGTCACTCTCAATTACATAGAATTTTGTGTCCTGTATGGTTCCGGCCACGTTCATCGGCAAGACAATTTCCCCTTTGGTGGTTTCACTTTCCATGTTGAAGCCATTAAGCACTCGAGCTGCGGGCACAATTTGATCTTGTAGGCCGAGACCCTTGATCGAATAATGTTGGCCAAGCTACCTAGATCGATCAACACACATTTAACTTGAATTTTATTCATAAGGATAGATATTACTAGTGCGTCGTTGTGAGGTTGTTCGATCCCTTCTGCATCCTCGTCATTGAAAGACATGGTCTCCTCCAGTAAGTAGTCCCGAGTCTA